TCTAAGTTTACCTTTATCCCTCATCTATTAATCATATAACCAAGGAATTTGCTTGACGTAACTTCAAAGGCATATTTTCTCAATCAAACTCTTACTTTTGATTATCATATCGTGTACATATACTTTTATGTTGTGGCTAATCTAATTTTTAAAGATCTTGTTGACTAACTTTTTATAGGTCACTCTTATACTTTTTAACCTAAAAGGCATCACCTTGTAACAGTAAATGCCCTTCTCTATAATGAAGGCCATTTTTTCCTCATCATCTTTCAATATTTTAATTTGGTTGTAGCCATAATAGACATTTATTAAGTTAAAAAGGTTATGCTCAGCACTATCATCTACTAGCCGATCTATATTAGGTAGGAAAAAGCCATCTTTTGGGCATGCTTTATTTAGGTCAGTAAAGTCAACACACATTCTCCTTTTTTCATTATTATTTTTTACCATGACCACATTGGCTATCCATTCGGGGTAATAAAACTCCCTAATGAATCCTGCTTGCAATAATCTATCGACCTCCTCCTCGATAGCTCTTTATTTTTCTAAGGTAAAGATCATCTTCTTTTATCAAACTGATTCACATCAAGATAGGTATACAGCCTATGGACCATTACCTCAATGTCGATTCTAGGCATATCGGATGGTGTCCAAATGAAAAGGTCGACGTTATTTTTCAAAAGTTGAAATAACTATTGTTTATGCTCAAGTTTAGTTCCAATTTACATATGCTTTTTAGGGATGTTATCCTAAAATGGTATAGCTATGAGTTCTTCCGTTGGTTCAGGTCAATTTTCGTCTGAGTCAAGTCTTTGGTCATTATTTCTTTCTGTTCAATTAGGTCAAGACCATTCCTGTAAAGATAGATCCCATGTGACGGTTGGTTTATTACTAATAAATGATCAAAATATATGGTTGAATCAGTAAGTATTTTTCATTTCAAACTTTATTATGGCCAGCGTATTAGCTCAATCCAAATAACATGTAATTATTTGTATAGGCTTAAGAGCTTTGTCATCTTTGAAATCACTTCAAAAATTTTTAAAATGAAATAAAATATGTTTTTCCATTTGGGCTTAAAAGCTCAAAAAAACTCAAAGTGCATTTTCATCTGGTTGGTTTTATTTTATATTTTCTTGCTTTTATTTTCTTACTTTTTCTCAGTTTTATATTGCTTGTCTTTCTTTGACTTTCTTAATTCTAGTTGAGCTGCCAGTCTACTTCCTAATTCTTCTTTTCATTGTTGTGACATAACACTGTTGTGCTGTTAGTTGGTCTCTCATCACCTCTCCAACCCCCTAAGGTGTTAGAAATTTCATTTTCAAATGGAGAGTTGAGTCTATGAAGTGTATAATAGATTTGATAGGTCAACCTAATATCATATTGTAGATAGATTGGATATCTATAACCATGAACTCTATGACCGAGGTGACCATACTTGGTTCTGTCCCCAAAGAAATCCATAATTAGTCATTTTTACTAGTATCTTCTTGTTCTAAATCCTACTTAGGTTAAAGTGATCGATTGTAATTGGTCTTCACTAATTCTCGGCTTCTTTGTGATGCTATAATATATGATGTCGATCAAGCTCCTATTATCGAATAAAATTCTCTTGACTACATAATTATATAATATAGTTATAATTATTATAGCATCATCATGTGGGTATTGGATTATTTCCAAATCTTTCAAGCTAAATGAGAATGGTTCGCATTTTTAATCTTTTTCTTTCTTTACTAAAGAACTCATGACTATGATCATCCTTGGGTTGAATTTTCTTATGGTCAAGGTTGAACTCCCTTTAATGTGGTAATGAGGCCCTTCCACATCAAAGCTTCATCCGTACCTTACATTATCATGTTAGTTTTATAAACTTTCAGATGATCAAAAAGGTCAGAAATACCATCATAAGTTTTTAAGGTTGACATTTTAAACCCCTTGTGAGGCATAGCTTTGTAAATCTCTTTGGTAAAAAGTGAGGTCTTTAAAAATTTGAGCTCATCCTCTAAAGCCACTGTTTTTGCCTTCAACTCTTTCTCCATGGCCTGTATCAAAACTTTCATGTCCTTACTTGGTTGGGGTTTGTGATTTGTTTGTTTGGATTTTTAAGTCATGGCATGTGTTGAATTATGACTAGGGTAATGTTAAGCTAGGGTGTTATGCTCTTCTTTTCTAAAAGTCGATGAGGCTTTCATCTCTTCATAACTTAGTTACCTTTTTGCAGCTTATCGACCAGAGGTGACTAGGTTAAGCACTTTTGAAGCCTATAGTGGGATTATAGTCTACAACATATGTTTAAAGGCTTGTATTTACTCGGTCAAGGCATGGAATTGCTCCATGGTTAGACCAACTTGTTGTGAGGCAAGTCAATCCGAGTGTTGGTTGTTATGTGATTTCGTTCCAACCAGGACGATTCTCTCTCTTTCCTCCAAAGTTTTTTTCCTATACGATATTGTTCTACATTCAGCTGATGAATAAAAAAGAGCCCTTACCTAATGTGCCAAATGTTTGTATCGAGCTCTGACGTAGAGGTGTTCTTGAAAGAATAGAAGATTAAAATAAAGCAGTTAGAAGCAAAGGTAGGGAATGTTCCCTGCATTTACACTGTGACATGCAAGTCAAAATAGGGAAAGTCGAAAGGAGAGAAAAGTAATAGGTTAGGACCAGATGGAACTTGCCTTAATGATGCCTAGATGTTTATATTTATAGATGAGAGATAAAGGCCTAATAAGAGACAATAATGATGTGACCAAGTTGATATGGCATTAAATGTGTCAAGTTAGGTCAGCACAAATGTCTGAATTATCCTTGGCTACGTGCTAAGGGCTCCTAATGAGGAAAAAGACTACTATGTTTTTTTGACCACTAAATGCCCCTAACATTTTTCCCAAAAACCTTTATTATGAATAGTCACTATACCAAAGAAACCATAAACATGCAAAGGCTTAAACCTTTCCCTTTATGTATAAAAACAATGTGGAAGATGTTGTAGGAGACCATAATGCATAAAAACAAAACACATGCAAATAAACAAAAAGAATACAACTGAACTTTAATCCAAAGTCATCTTTTGGGTTTTGAATCCCTATACACAACCTTTTTTTCATTCGAGACCAATACATACAAACTAAAAAAATAACGTAAAATATGAACCGAAAACTTGACTCCTTTTTCAACCTTTTTAGACGATTCTTTCCCTGTATTTTAGAAAAGCTTTAAACATCATAACTGAACCTAGCTTTTGAAATCATATTTAAAGTTTTAAAGCTACTTCAATCATCCCATTTCACCTATTATAAAAATGCTTTATTTTGTTTAAGGAAAACACCTCATTTTAACATCAAAACCAGAAAACATGGACACAAGAGTGCTTGGACTTTTATGACCGTAAAGAAAAGAAATGAAATTGGGTTTGAAATTTTTTTTAGCCTATAAACCTTTCCTTTCTTATGCTTTCAAAAGGCTTTCGATTTTAAAAGAGAAAAATGAGTTTTTTTTCATTGTATACTTGAAAAACTTGGACCGAAAGAGTGCCTTAAGCTCTATGATCCTTACATGAAAGGCAATTTTTATTCGCTTCAAACCTTTCAAAACTTTTGCTTCTTTCTTTAACTTGGAAAGCTTCCTCTTTTCTAAATAAAATACATTTCTTTATTCATTACAGCTAACAAAAATAGTCTATACACAACTCAAATCTTCCAGTGTAGGAAAAAAAAATTCCAAAATGAAAGCTATATGAGTTTAAAAGAATGGTTTTTTTTATAAACCTTATAAGGGAAATATATTTATATCAATATTCTTTAATTAAATTTGTATAAAACTCATTCATATGAGGATGAAGATGCCAAAGTGGTAAAAAAAATTGGAAGAGTTAATAGGTCATTCATATATTTTTTAAGGAAAATTTAATGATTACGATTTTTTCATGAAAGTTTAAGATTAACTGTTATACATGTTTATGTGATACCATATGTAGCGGAAAGGCTAAATTTGTTTGAAAAATAAAAAAGGTAAGTAGTTTAATACATTTTATTAAAATCTTTTACCAATAATTTTTTAAATAATTGTTTAAAATTTAAGATTATCACTTACTTAAAACTTAAAACTATTTCATTTCAGTTTTTAGAAAAACATAATTGTGCATTAGATGTCAAATTCAAAACAACTGAAAGGCATAAATATTTGAGAAACCATATAGATGCTAAAGAGAAATTCTTACAAAAAGATATGTACATGAGAGTAAGTTATTACGTATATTATTTAAATATTTAAAATCATTATTTCTCTTAAATACATAAAATTATCTTTAAATTACATAAATTTATAACTGTAAAAAATGACAAGAGAAGATAAAAATAATGTAAACTAAATAAAGTTAATTTGAAATGATAAAACTTTCAGTTTCTATTTTAATATTTTGTTAGTGCATTTAATAATATTATTTATAATATCTTTTGAATATTTTTTCCAATATTATTTATCCTATATTTTAATTTTTATCAAATTTTAATTAATTAAAAACTTTATTTTTATTATAATTTTGATATCTTAATTATATTATTTATATTATATATATTTTAAACATGTAAATAGTTTTAATTTATATTTTTATTTAATTTAAATAAAATAAAAATAATTAATATATCGAACAGCTAGCATGCTAGAGTTAATATATAATAGTCTAGCCAACGTAAGATGTTGCGTGCATGTGAGAAACATGTGCACCGTCGGGTTGCCTTTATTATCCCCCTTTTTTTCTAATTCATTTTTTCAGTTCAAAATGCTCTTTTTGACCAAGTAGTACTAACTCATGAGTGGGGAGCATTTGGGCTAACTAATAGTCTTACAAACTTTGTTTTGGTTTTTTTTTTTTTTTTTTTTTTTTTTGAAAAAAAAAATTGAACCAAAAAAGAGAGGTTGAAAACGAAACAAAAGGAGATAAAGTAAAAAACCAAAAAATTTGTCCAATCCAATAAAAACCCTATTTTCAGCTTCTAATTTCCTCTCCTATCCATCCATATATTTTAACCCAAATTACACCCCCAATCCCACACTCTTTGATCCCATCCTGTCTTAATCTCCCCAACATCTCTCCATTCATTTTCATTACCCGTGGCAGCTAGTTATCTAGCAAGGCATTTGATATATCTGCCAAAAACATAGTATTATTAGTATTTGGTTTTCAAATTCCTTCAGTAAAAAACGGTGGATCGAAGGCATGGAAAACGGCCGCTTCCACCCGAAACATCGGAGGAGAAAAGCAAAGGACGCGATGACTTTGGAGCTGCAGCTGCAACTTCTTGGCCTGAATCCGCGGATATGACAGCCATGGTTACAGTTCTCACTCAAGTGATGGGAAGCGATGAGCAGCTTAGTTTCCCACAATCATCTGCCTCATCAGCACACTCTGCGGTGAAACAAGACCCTGACCCTCCTCAACTTGCAGTTCAAGATCAAGGTACATATATTTATACATATCTTTGACTGTGATAATAACTAGGGTTGTTTCTGTAAGCAAACAGTTAAAATTACGTGTTAGTATTTCTTAATTATAGATTGTCAACGTTTTCCTGCCGCTTGTGCTTCCCCTTTCAGTCTTTCTGATATTAACCTTGTTTGGTCGTAGCAGTCGTGATCTATCTCTATCTTAAGTTTTCCTTTCTTTTCTTCTTGTCTTTCAAATTTTCGACTTCAAAGAGGGAGATCTACCTGTCTTGATTCTACCTTTTCCTTTTAAGTCAAGAGACGGAAATGGAAATATGTGGAAGTCTCTAGGGTTAGTCAAGTTCAATGTATCCAGGGCTAAGGCTAAGGCTAAGGTTATGGCTAAGATACCTTTAAAGAAGTCTCTCACTTCTCTCCCATCTGACTATAAAATAAATGATTGTAGTGTACTGTGTTTACACAAGGCATTCCTCCATGCTTTTTCTAAAATTTTCCACATCACAAAAAAAAAAAAAAAAACAAATAATAATAAATTATTTATTGGTTTGTAGTGGTAATCATAATTCCAGTGTTCTGGTCGAATAGCAAAGCTAGATTGCTTATTCTTATCCATCTACTACTGGATAAAGCTATAGGTTTCTGATTAATGTTAAAATTATGGAAACAAAAAGGGCCGGGGTCTATTACGTGGGATACTGTCATTCCTTTTCGTTTTCTCGTTTGACCAAGGAACTTATCTTTACATCTCCATTCTTACATTTTTTGCTTTTAAATTGTGCCCAACATTGAAAATAACTACCGGGATTTCCAGTATTAGACGTTAGTTATTCTACCAAAAGATCTGGTTTTCAAGTTTCCTTACCAATTCCCAGTAATTTCTTCATCATTCCTTGGACTTATGGCATCGACGACGGACACTCTATAACTCCAGTAAAGCTAAAACATTATGCGTAGTAAAGCTTCTTGTGGTGCTATAAAACTACTAACATCTTTTTTGAACTTAAGTTGAATCTATAGCTAGCTTCTAATTGTTGAACTTGTTTAGTTAATTGGAAGAAGAAAAGTAGTGAAATAAAATACATCTTTCCTTCTTTTTCAAAGCATTTGCCAAAGGTATAGCGAGAAACCATTGATCAGAAGTACAATTTCTTCTTTATTAAGTACACAAAAAAAAAACTGTTCTCTCATTATTTTTTTCCGAAGGGTTTTGTTAACTTTAATCCAACATTTCGACAAACTTTGGTCAACAAGTTAGGACATAAAACTGCTTTCATACATATTATGTTATTAATATATATTGTTCTAAATAGAGCACCGCCTAATGCCCCCTCCACTTCTTGCTTCACTTTGTGTCGTGATTGCATGCAAAACCATGCAAATCACTTGTATTTGTATATATAAAAAATACATATAGATTTTTGTGCCTTTATCAAATCGTAACGTGATATCTAGCAGTCCTATTATTTTTCAAATTTGAAAATATTTTTTAATCTATGTACTTAATGCTGAAGGATGATAAGCAACTAGTAAACTACTTGGCATTTATAACTTGGTGGCATGTATATATATGTCATGTCATGTGCTCATGCATTGCCTTTCTGTATGTGAAGAAACTACAAGGAGAAGACATTATAGAGGAGTGAGGCAAAGGCCATGGGGCAAATGGGCAGCTGAAATTCGTGACCCAAAGAAAGCAGCCCGAGTGTGGCTTGGCACTTTTGACACAGCTGAGGATGCAGCCCTTGCATACGATAGAGCTGCTCTCAAGTTCAAAGGAACCAAGGCAAAACTAAATTTTCCTGAACGAGTTCAAGGTAATACGGAGGTAAGCTATTTAACGGGTTCCGGAGATTCAAGCACCGTTCGTTCCGAACAAAATCCTACGCCTGTAGTTCCACCTTCACCTTGGTCTCAGGATTCATATCCCCACTTGTTTCAATATGCACAACTACTTTCAAGTAGTAATGATGCTGATATCTCCTATTACACTTCAAATCTCTTCAATCAAGAACCTTTGTCTCCACAATTTGCTTCAATGTCAGCATCATCCACCATCTCATCACAGCACTACCATCAAGACCTGACAAGATCTTCAACCAAGCATGAGAGCTCTTCAGGTTCTGATTATCCGGAGCAATATGGAAGGGACTTTGATCCAAGTAACAGAAGCGAGTAGACAATATTATAGTAGCTTTACAAGTTCTTAATCAAGAGAGCATTGAAAAATCTACTATATACATGGTAAAATTTAATAACAATGTCGCAAGCGCTTCCATTTCTTACTTCCAAGCCCCTCGCCCCCTCCTTTTTATGCTCTTATAACTTTCCCATCACATGATTTCGACTGGTGGCACTCTTTGCAAAAGAATTATTTACACTGTAATTCTACTAAGTGGGAAGTGCATAATTCATTTTCCCAGCACCTTAATTTTTTAAGTTTTATGATTTTTTTTTTTTTTTGCTTCTATTGTTTTCGAAAGCTAGAGATCTTTACATTGATGAGTTTGATAGAAGGAAGCAACAAGTAGAAAGACATTATATTTACATATATATATATATATATATATATATATATGTCTGCTTCCAAATAATTTTTGGCGACTGGGAGCTCTCGTCTAGTTCTGCTTGGCCTTGTTTCCTTCTTTGTTTTCTACCGTAAATGGAAAGCTTGGATAAACAATTGAGCATGTTAGCTGATCTTATTTCGATATTTGGGTTTGCTTTTAATGTCATTTTCAAGTTTTTTTCCAAATCACTTGTAGTTATTATGCTTCTTACTAGAAACAGTGATGATGTCAGTACTGCCCTTTATCACTCTTGTGATTTGATATATATTGTCTAATGCGAATGCAATGAGTTTATCTATGTCTAGAAGTACGCTTAGTCTAATTTTATTCTTTTCTTATTCCAATTTTCAAAAGCTAATTTTTTTCTCCTTGAAATTAAGTAGAACAGTCGAATAAACTAAGTTATAATTATCCAAACCTTTTAAAGCTGACGTGGCCGTCTTCAGTCTTCACATCCAGTATAATATATTATATTTTCTCTAGAGGGTCAAGAGCTTCATATTAAATTCATCCATGACCATAATGAGATGCACAAACAAAGCGGAATTAATTAAGGTTAAAATAATAAAAAAAAAATTTGAATTTTATCGGATAAATTTTTATACTTTTATTATATCTAATAAAATTCTTAAATTTATATATGCACTCGAATAAATTTTTAATTTTTAATTTGTATTAAATAAATTTTTAAATTTTAATTTATATTTAATGTTTGAAATAAAAACATACTTGAATATAAATCAAAGAATAAAAATTTATTTGGATACAATAGAAATATAAAAACTTATTTAAGAAAAATGAAATAGTTTAAAGGCTTTTTTTTATTTTATCTATTAAAAAGTTAATAAATTATTATGATTATCCTTTTTAAATATGCCGGTGCTGCATGCATGATTTTTATTGTTTATTAATTATATTGTAAATGCTAGAATTTAATTTTAAATTTATTAGATATTATTTTTTTAAAAAAATTATTATATAAATTGATTGGGTTAAATTTGGAATTGTATATTATTAATATTGTACATAGTTGGTGTCTCGGTGAAATGTAAAATTCTGTTAAGTCCGATATGTATATTTGACATTTTCCATTGGCTTACTTTTCTCCTTGGCGGCCGCATCTTTGTTTCCTTATTTCTTAAGCAAAGAACACCATGGAGATAATCATATCATATTTTAAATTCAACATTTGATATTTCCGTGAGATATAGAATTAATAAGAGGAAATGTTGAAATGTAACAAATATCTTTACAGCAACAGATAATAATCACAAAGGCACGCGCTGTCTTGATAATGATCAATTGGAATAAAATCTTGGTCGCATATATTGTTTTCCAATCAAAGGGAAATAGGAGTACTCTCAATCAAAACCAAAAGTGGACTCACTTCCAATATACTTCATAAAGATTTATACTCTATATGTGGAATATATTTGATGGCGCCTGCATCTTGGCTTTTGTTTTAACAAATTTTAATCCTCATCAAAAGCTATCCACTATAATTTTTTAATTATGTTATTTGTTCTATTGGTTTTTTTTAATGAAAATGGGTTCTGTTAATTTTGTTTTAAATATCTATATTTCTTGATATAATATGTAATTATTGGATAAATTTAACATAAAATAATCAATTAATAAATAAATAAAATATTAAAATCAAATTAATAAATTATTGTCACACAAGATGAAAAAAATAATATTAAAACAATCTATCTCGATGAATAATATTTTTATAACTTTTTGACAAAGACCATATCAATGGTTTTCATTCACAGCCAAAGATTAGCATCATCCTCATGCATTAACTATACAAAGAGAATTTTTTATTTTTTAACTTTTAACTTTTTCATAACACACTTACCTATTTTTCCATGTTATTGCAACCTTAAATATTCCTTTTAAACTCTCTCCCATATGGATGGCGGTAACTTGTTTTTGTCCCGTGTCTCGTTTGTTCCTCTTTACCGAAGTGGGGCAACACGACACTCATTGGCCAAACGTGAACTATAAATACTATTAAACAGGAATAAATATCCTATTCTTAAGAAAACTTAAAGAGGGCTGAATATTAAATAATAATAAAAGTATGTAGCCGCTATCACAGAATTTTGAGTTCTTTGCATGCTTTGGGACATGGGTCCAAACTAAATTCTAACATAGTTTGCTAGGGTTAATATAAACTTTAAATTATAATAAAATATTTAATATAATATTTTTTAAAATTTAAAAATTTTGATGTGAATTTAAATTATAAATTTATTATTGATCTTTAATATAATTAAATTTCAAAAATAATACGTTATAAATAAATAATTTTTTAAATATTATATTAATTAATATATTCATAATTTAAGTATAATATTGAAAGCTTTTAAAATTCATGTGTCACATTAAATATTTTATTATAATTTAAATTCATATTTATCAATTCACATAAAAGTTATGCTTAATTAAAATTATCAATTTGTGTGCACTTGTATCACGTAAATATTAATAATTTTTGTATTCGTATTATATTTTATATATAAATTTATTTTATAATTTGTATCAATATAAAAATATAAAATATATTTTTAATTTTATTTAATTCAAATATTAATTTTGTTAAAATTTTAACAAGTATCATTTTCGATTTTTTAGCATATTATTATTTAATATTATTATATTTTTCGGCCTTTTTTATGTCTTTGCTTGAAATGATATCGTTCTTGACTCATGATGTGGGGGTGAGCTTTAGGCAAAACGCATGCAGAAGCTCCAGTGGGCCTTGGCCAAGTTGCTCCAGAAAGCGAAGTTTGGTGGGCCATCCCCGATCCTCCAAAGCCCAAGAACTAGCAAACCGACAAAACTAAGAGAAGATTCTTTTTTTTTCCAAGCTTTGAAACTCCAAAAAAAGAAGCCAAACGCAACGTAAGCCGCGTGAAATATGACGTGGTCCTCTTCCCAATGCGACGACAAAGACCCTTTAGTAGGGGAGGGGACCATGCATTTTCCCGATCCTGACGTGGCGTACCACGCTTTCGGCTTCCCGACGTCAAATTTTGCGGCTTCGCCACTTTACCCTTTGGCCTTTTGTTCTCCTGCCCAAAAAAAAAAAAGGCACAATTATTATCCATCTTGATTTCTTTGAAATTGAAGATTTTGTTTTTTAAATTTCAGTCTCTGCCCCTGCCCGCATGCACATTAAGGCTTGGCCTATCCCTTCCTACTCCTACAACTGATTTGATGGAAAGCGATCTTAGGTGGGGTTTGGGTTTCCTTTCTCCTTTTTTTTCCCCTGCAAAAGTTTTGAGCATGTATGTATATATATTTTTCTGTTCATCGTGCGGTATAGAAAAAAGTATGAAAAAGAAAATCATAGAAAGATGATTGCAAATTAGGACATGCGTAACAACCAAAAAAAAAAAAAAAAAGGCCAAAAGAGAGAATGAGAAAAATTTGAGAAGATACAGATTGCTAGCATTTAAAGTGGATTAAAGTCATCGGTGGAGGCCTACTTTTTATCTTTTGTTTTTCTAACAGTTTTGAAAGCCTTCTTTCGTTGTTGATTAACGAGGTATATTTAATAGGTTCGATTAATTTTAAATTAAATTATTAAAAATTAAATTAATTAAATTAAATTATAATAGTTCTATTAATTAAATCAAATATATTAATATTAAAAATTAATCAATAAAATTAAATTTGATAGGTTAAATTAATTTTTTATTAATTAAATAATAAATACATTTAAATTAGATTATGTTTTAAACTCTTCATTTTTTTATATATGAAATAAAATAAATAAAATCATCCAAAAAATATTTAAATATCAAAATATTAAGTTAAAAATTTTAATAATTTTAAAATAAAATAATTTATTTCATTTATTTTTAATTTTATAATTAAATTTTATTATAATTTAATTAAAATTTTGATTGATTTGATTTTTGAATCAAATTAATCAAAAATTAAATTTTCTTTAAAATTATATTTTGATAATTGATTAAAATTATTTTAATAATCAATCGATTAATCAAATTAAATTGATTCAACCAATTAATTCAATTAACATTGAATTTTATATACCCCTAATGTAGGCTATTTTTGGAGATATTTACTGAGCTTTCCCGGAACTTCTCAATCCCAATTGAATCCGGGAGAGGAGAAAGTGGATTTCTTTGAAAACTGTTGTTTGACAGCTAGAAGTTAAGAATGGAAATTTGTTTTACTTAATCAAGACCGAAAACAATGACTTATTTTTGTGAACGAGACATTTGAATAAAACAAATCAACATCGAATAAGATGTTGTTAATTATATTTCATCAAACATCTAAATTTATATATATTAAAAAAATTTCTTGACGTTAATGATTGATATTTGTCCATTTTTGTGTGGGTTAAATCGATATTTAGATTAATTTTTATTGATTTTGAGGGATAAGTGAGTTGAATATTTATTTGTTAGATCTAATTTTGGGAGGAAATGAATAGATTTAGAGTAACTTTTTGATGATTTGGGTCAATTTGTTAGATTTAATTCTCCTTTAGTCTTTCCCACATCGAATTAACTTTTTTTTTCATCTGAAAAAAAATTCAAACTTTATTTTTGAATAAAAAAATTATGTGCATTGATCAGTAAATCAAATATTTGAATGTTTTAATTGAATTAACTTAAAAGTATTTGGAGTAAGGGTTAAATTGAGACTTAAAAGTTTCTCAAACAGATCGTAACAAATATTAATTTAAATCTTAAAAGATTTAATGATATTTTTTAAAGATATTATTAGACTGGCTAAAAATACAATAAATAACAATATTCTAGTATATTAATCATAAAAAAATCATTTTTTAAGAATTGAAAAAACTAGAAATCTATAATAGTGGACCAACACAATGAATATGCAACGTTCGTCAGATCTGTACTAGAAATTACTGGTATGTAAAATTGCTAATACAATACCACTAATATCCACGAAACAAAAGGGTTTAATTTTTAATAACAGCAAAACAAAAAATTATTCGATCAAATGGATTATGCATTCGAAAGTAGTAGACTGTAAAATTCATTTGAAATTAATTTTAAGTCCGTGCAATATACGGATATACAATTATATATAAAAAAAATTAATTATAATATAACTATTAATTTTTATATAAAAATAAAATTTTGATGCAAAATAAAATAAAAAAATAAATATTAGAAATTTTTAAGAAGATTTTGTAGTAAAATTACTTATCATATTTACATGGAGATATGTATTAAGTACCATAATTAGTATCAAGTTTATAAAAATAATAAGTCATAATCTCAACTTTATTTAAA